CAAAATTGCACTTCTACTTCAGAAAAATTGTGGTGAGCACCTCAGCCAGAAGAAACCTTTCTGTTGAATTTCTCTGCTATGCACTCTTTTGTATGGCATTTCATACCTACTGGCTTAAATAGTTTTTTATTGATCCATTAATTCCCCAAAGTGAAGGAAACATTTCCAGAGGAAACGAAAAATAGGTTATGTTTTGGGGTGGGAAGAAAGAAGGTTAGTTTGGGGCCAAATGTGGAGCATATTAAACCTCAGGCAAGACATTCTAACTGGGTTGAGTTGGGGGTGGAGGCATTAAGAGTCTCTGAGAGGGGAGATAACATATTCCTAGTTGTTCTGTAGGAAGATCATCTGCCTGTAAATGTCCGTGTACAAAAAGCGACAAGACTAAGAGCAGGAAACATTTATGGAGCATTGTTTATTGCCGGTTGCTGTATTGGAATACACAAGTAGAAAGGATAAGGATCCCCAATGTACTTACATGTTACGCACAGCATCTCTGAGTTACACATAATAGGTGTTTGATCAATGTTTGTTGAATGAGTGAATAAATACATATAAACGAATAAATATAGAAAATGCCTCTTAGTAACTTAGACAACCTTCCATATGTGGGTCATTGGCCCTGCACTCAGATTTCCATACAGTTTATTTCTGTAAGTAGTTTGTTTCTATGCAAATAATATGGTTAGTGATGATGATGATAAGAAAAGAGGGATGAAGGAGAAAGGGCTACAATATATTCAGTCCTCATTATGAGCTGAGCACTGTATTAAGTACTTTATCTACACTCACTCATTTTCCCCATTCAACTAGAGAAAACTAAGAGATTATAATGATTTAAAATATATATTTTATTTATTTTAGAGAGAGAGAAAGGGAGGGAGAAGTCAAGAGAGAAACATCTAAGTGAAAGAGAAACAGCTATTGATTGTCTCTCATACACGCCCCGGCGGGGGACCCAACCCACAACCCAGGCACATGCCTTGCTCTATCCATTTTGCGGGATGACACCCAAGCAACTGAGCCACACTGCAGAGCAGAAAACTAAGAGATTGAAAACCAAATTTCACTTTCTATGACTGGCTTATTGCATGTACCATAGCGTTCTCCAGGTCCATCCACGCTGTTGCAAAAGGTAATATTTTCTTCTTTTTTAGGGCTGAGTAGTATTCCATTGTATACATGTCTCACAGCATTTTTTAAAAGATTATATTTATTTATTATTTTTTTAGAGAGAAGGAAGGGAGGGAGAAAGAGAGGAAGAGAAACATGAATGTGTGGTCGCCTCTCACATGGCCCCCACTGGGGACCTGGCTGCAATCCAGGCATGTGCCCTGACTGGGAATCAAACTGGCAACCCCTTGGTTCACAGCCTGTGCTCAATCCACTGAGCTATACCAGCCAGGGCCCTCACAGCATTTTTATCCACTCATCTACTGATGGACACTTGGGCTGCTTCCAAATCTTAGCTATTGTAAATAATGCTGCAATGAACACAGACAAATACCATATAATTTCATTTATATGTGGAATCTAACGAACAAAATAAATTAACATGCAAAATAGAAACATAGAGACAGAGAATAGACTGACAGCTGTCAGTGGGGAAGGGGTTAAGGGCTGGGGGAAAAAGGTGAAGGGATTGAGGAAAATAACAGCCTCCGAGACACAGACAACAGTACGGTGATTGCTGTAGGGAAGGGAGTGGGGAGGTAGAAGAGAGTAAAGGGGGAGTAAATGTTGACGAAAGGAGACTCCACTTGTGGCAGTGGGTGCACAGGGAATGCACGATGCAATATACAGATGATGTAGTATAGAATCGTATGCTAGCCACCTGTATAACTTTATTAACAAATGTCACCCCAATACATTCAATTACAAAATGCAAGTTTCAGCACCACTAACACACCAAACGAGGGATTGATTGGCAGTTGTGGCAGCTGCTGTCAGTGCCTGGCCCCTTCTATTATCTGACCTCCCCTTGCTGGTGGGGAGGCAGTTTCGGCATGTTGGCAGCTTCCCAGCTCAAGTGCCTTTGCCTCTCTTCTCTGCCTGAGGACTCTGATGCCTGGGAGTGTGCTTGTCTGCAAACGTGTGTCACCTGTAAGTGTGGCAAGGTTCACCCGCCACCAATAGAGGGTAAGACTTTAGATAAACGCCCCAGCCTCCTGGGCTTTTAGAAGTAGGGGATTCTGAAGTGGTTTAAGAGCTCTTGTAATTCGGAAGGCGTTGTTTCATGTTTCTTGTAACGCAAACTTGTCATTGGTATTCATATTCAAACTAGCAGCAGGAAGTTTGGGCTAATAATATACTGTATATCAGAATGAAAGAATCGGAGTTTCTTTTGGGGGAGCTTTGTTACTGTGAAAAAAAATAATCTCTCATAATTGGATCTTATCTTGAGGGATCTTAGTTTGAATCCCTCAAGAGAGGACACTGAGCCCTGGCTGGTGAGGGTCAGTTAGTGGGCCCTTGTCCAGTACACCAAAAGGTCGCAGGTTCGATTCCTAGTTAGAGCACATGCCTAGGTTGCAGGTTCAATCCCCAGTCACAGGGCATGTATGCAAGGCAATTGAAAGATTTTTTTCCTCTCTCAATATTTTCTCATTTCTCTCTCTCTCTAAAAAAAGAAAAAAGAAAAGAAAAGAAAGAGGACATTGAGACAAACACTTTGGGGGAAAAGGGAGTGCCTCAAAGATTGGATTAGAGGAAGACAGGGAAAGAGTGGAAAAATTGTAAATATTTGCTTTACATATCACTAAATATTTTACATGTTATAGTAAATCCGTAATTTAAGATTATCTAATAAAGGAAAAGTAAAAAATCAAAACCAAAAAATAAACAATAGTGCCAGACATTTATGAATGTTGCACGTACTCTGCAGACGCATCTCTAGAACCCAGGCAGAATCACCCAAACTCACTCTGCCCTCCCGCTGCCGTTCCAGCTCTTCTTTCTGGTCACCCTTGGTCTGGATTTTTTCATGTTACTACCGCTGTCCAGCTGAAAAATGCAGTATATTTTACTTTTTCATACTACCTGCCCCTGACAGTTTATGTCACGTTTTCCCAGTGTATTATATCAGTTCTTTCATCTTCTTCTGCCTTATACTGTACCCAAATTCAGGTCCCAAGACTGCCCTTTATGCCTATACCACTGGTTAGCGACCAGCTGTCTCTTCTCGCCCCAGCATATATGACATTCACTTGACTCTCACCTCTGTTCCTCTAAAGCACACCATCTCTCCACTTGTAAATGATAAGTCGTTTGAATGTAGGACTCATGTTTTAAATGTCTTTGAATTTGCCAGAGGACCTAACACATTGTTTTGCATGTAATAATACATCAACATAAATTTACAGAAATATCTAGATTTATCTCAGTTTATGCTACCATGTGTCCAAATCATGTAAGAGCCATTAAAAAAAAGTACTTATTGACTGCCTGCTGTTTGCCAGGTGACATATCAGGTGATGGGGAGATAGTGGTGAACAGCAGTAACAACACAACACAGGTTCTTCTCTAGTATTCTAGAGAGGAAAACAAAAGGAAAAGGTAAATACATACATGCTTATAAATTAAAGAGCTCTGAAGAGAATGAATAGGAATGTCTACCAGAGAATAATATAGTGATGGATGTTATAGACGAGCAGGAATATCTTCTGTGAGGACAAGACCTCTGAGCTGAGACTGGGGAAAGAGAAGAATCATGAAAAGGCACAGGTTGTGTAGTCAGGCAGATGGAAATGTACAAGCAAAGACCCCGAGGGTGGACAAACCTCAGTGCACTTAAGGACACTAAGAAAGGTTGGTATGGTCCTGGCTGGTGTAGCTCAGTGGGTCGAGTGTGGGCTGCGAACCAGAGGGTCACCAGTTCGATTCCCAGTCAGGGCACATGTCTGGGTTTTGGTCCAGGTCCCCAGTACGGAGTGAATGAGAAGTAACCACACATTGGTAGTTCTCTCCTCCTCTTTCTCCTTCTCTTCCCCTCTCTCTAAAAATAAATAAGTAAATAAAATCTTAAAAAGAAAAAAAAAGAAAGGTTAATGTGGCTCAAGGGAAGTGGTTATGGAAGACATGGCCAATGGATAGCTGGCAAAGTAGTTTAGAGACCAGATCACAGAGCCCATGTGGAACGTGTAAAGTGTGGTTTGTACTGGAAGAGCAATGGGAAACTATTCATAGCATTTAAAGCAAGAGAGTGGCATGCATGATTTGATTTAGAATTGTGAAGTCCACTTCAGCATCCATTGAGAAAATGATGTTGTGAAGGAAGAGCAAACAGGAGGACCAGGCAGTGGACTACTGGATAGCCCAGCTGGAATCACTGCAGTTGGGAGAGCGTTGTAGCAGGGCAGAAGAGCTCTGCTGCCCCTGGAGCTCTTCTGCCCCTGGAGCTCAGAAGAGAGGTCCAGGTAGAGGCATGAATTGGGGACTCGCCTGGTATTAATGGTATTATTTAGCTGGTATTAAAACACATAAGAAAGGGGTTAGAGCGTCTAAAGAGAGAGGTGGAAAGAGAAGAAAATAGGGCCCAGAATGGAGCCCTGGGTCTTTCCTACACTATGGTGGAGGGAAGGAAGCCAGCAGAGAGATGCAGAATGGCCAGATAGAAAGGGGATGCTAAAAATACTATAACAAAAAGGCTTTCAAGAAGGAGAAATGTTCACTTTTGATGGCAACTGAGAAGTTGGGTGAGCCCATATTGGAATCCTCTCTACTGGGTCGGACTTGAACGGAGATGGAGAGCACTGTATTTTTGTCTTTTACTCTTATTGGAGTCCCTAAAGCAGCTGCTGGCACACAGTGGAAACTTGATATGTATTAATCAAATGACACATATTAATTGAATGGGTGAATATTTAAGTTCAGTTGAAGGTTACAAGTAGGCATATGTAGTATTTATTTATCTATTAAAAAAATTTTTTACCCTCACCTGAGGACTTTTTCCCCATTGTTTTTAGAGATGGAGGAAGGAAGAGAGAGAAACAATGTGAGAGAGAAGCGCCCACTGGTTGCCCTCCACATGCACTGGCCCGGGGATCTTACACACCCAGACGGGACTGAAACTGCAGACTAGGCATGTGCCCTGACCAGGAATCAAACAGTAAACTTTGGGTTATGGGACTATGCTCCAACCACGTGAGCCTCATGGGCCAGAGCAGCATAAGTAGTTTTTAAAGTCCTTTTCCCACACCTCCAGGTAACCTCTCCCTACCTGATTTTTCACACTTGCCTACAAAAAATTTGATTAGAGAGAAAGCAATATCTACAGTCTTGTCAAAGCAACATTAAACACCCTTTATTTCTGCTGACTTAGGAAAAAATTGAGCTGGTCTCTAAGCCTTAGCAGAAGGGAACTTGGGGTTAACAGAGCACGCTGAGGTAACAAAGGGTGGTTGTTTCTGGAAAGGTGGTATCACTGTAACTATAACAACATGCTCTACTGGCTGCTACTCACTTTAATTATGCTAATGAAAATAATGGTGTTGAGTGGATGCCATCACATAAGATTTTGGCGAAGAAAGAGAAAAATGTGGGTTCGGATCAGTGGCTCTGACATTGCCAGGGTCTGGAGAATGTGGAAGTGCCTTTGATACGACTTCTCCCTGGACATCAACTGGGAGTGTGGCTGCACAACAAGAGAAGCTGCTTAGTTCAGAATGATGGCAGCGTGAGCTGGTTACAGAACTGGGTTGGAATCAGCATGCATATCTACTCAGAAAAAAGGGATCTTTGGGTGGAGAAACAAAGTGGGACCATTTTTAATGGGCCCTGTTATCTACATCTCTAGAAGCCATTTTATTTCATTTTTACAAGAGATGTAACACACACCATTGCTTGCCTTTTCCTTTGTTGCAGATAATAGGAGAGGGTTGCTAGTCCTCTTGTGTTGTCTGTTGATAAGAGAGTAAACATGATCCGGTTGGGTTTGGCTAGAACACCCTTGCCATTCTACAGGTATCTCAAACTCTCTGTCTAAATCTTAATTCATCGGTGCACCACGTGCACGCCCACTTCCATGCATACACACATGCATAGCCTTGTTCCTTCTGTGCATTTTTTTCTTTGTGAATTATCATCATATTACTCAGATCCCCAACTCAAGCCTTGGGCATCACCCTGACTCCTTCATCTCTGTTCCATGTTTGTATTTACCAGTGCTAGCACTAAGTTCTATCGGCTCCTGTGTCTCATATCTCTTGAATGTATTATTTCCTCTGTTCCTCCTTTGCTATTTCCTAGTTCAGGCCACCACCATCATCTTACTACTCATTAATTACTACAGGAGCCTTAGAAGTTAGGTTTTCTGTATTCAATCTTTTCTGAAACACACAGCTGACCAAAACAAATCTTTCCACAGCTTTCTGTCAGCCCCAGCAGAGAGGTAAAATTGTTTAAACTGGCTTGGGTGATTCTCGATGTGTCCCTGCTTCCCTAGTGAGCCTCGTATGGTTCCAGTCTGCCTGTGGACAGCCATGCTCTGCCAGAAGCATCTCTTCCAGTTCTACCTGGTCCTGCTAGAGCCTGCCCTCACACTGTGCTCTCACACTGCTTAGCCCAACCGAACCCTCCTTGACCTTCCAATCTCTAAGTGTCCCTTAAACATTCAGAACAATGTCTAGTCAGTAAAAGTTTGTCTTTCTACCATGCATTTTCCTGAAGGCTTATCCTGCCTTGCTAACCATATCCTGTGGATCTTGCAATGTGCTGGCTCAATGAATGCGCTGAATAAACGATACAATTTAAGATGTGCTATTTCAGTATGGTCTTAGTGCACACACACACACGCTCGCGTGCACGCACACATGTGCATGCACCTTGGTGAACCCCTTTTCTTCATTTTTTTTCACACAGCAGTAATTAGTAACTGGACCTGCTCCTCCTACAGATATCAGCCTGATAATCATCTACAGCTGTTTCTCTGGTTGCCGAAGAAAGAAACCTGAGGCACATCTGGATTGCATTAGAATGAGAATCTAACGCAGTTTGGATGTGCTGTACTGGGGTCCTGAGTGCATCTTCAGAGGGTTATTGTGGTGCCTGTCTCTTGACCTTCCACTGGGTATCTGGTGGTACCGAGGTGGGTGCATGGGAAATGGCAGCAGCAAGAACTACGTTCTTCGTTAACATGAAGCAAGTCACAGTACTTTCTTAACTCAGCCTCGCTGTTGAACACAGAGCAGCTTAAACCCCGTGCCATTCAGCCCGTAAGGAGACAGGCTGGCCGCCCCTCTACCTCCTCCCCGAGGCAGTGGAGGACTTAGGAGGAAGCGTGGGGAGTAAGGAAGTGGACTTAGAAGCTTGGAGGAGTCTGAGTCTTGAAGTGAACTGCCATGACGTGTTTGTGACCAAAGTAACTCAGGCACCTTCAGGAGTTCATTTTAAATTTGTGGCCTTCTGGTTATTTCTACGCCCCCCAAGTCAGATAGAGTGCCTAATTAGCAGCGAAAAATGTGGACGGTTCCGCGCCGCAGTCTGATGCCCAGGTTTGTGGCTGGCCTTTGGGCTACACCGGGGCAGGCGGTGGGGCCTCTGCGCTCATAGTGGGGCCACTTCGCCGCCCATCCAGGCCCCAGCCACGGTTAGAAGGGGTAGCCTGTGCGCCTTCCAGCTTTGCCACTCTCGCAGAGCCCCCAGAGCCCGGAGTCTTCCAGCTCTTAGAAGAAGTTGTGAGGTCTGGCCGGACGCGCGATTAGCAGCAGAGGTCCCCCAGCGCCCCCTGCAGCCGCTGGTCGGGGGTAGACGGCACCTAGTCTCGCCTCAGCACCAAACCTGGGACCCCACCCAGAGGCCCGCGCCCAGGAGCTCGGGAGCATCCGCACCTCCCTGCGGCAGAAACCGGGCGTGGGGTCCTGCGGGCGGGTGCGCTACATCCCAGGCGGCCTCCGATTGCTCCGCCCGGGGGCCGACTTCCCCTCCCTCTTTCCGTCCGTCCCTCCCTTCTTCCCTTCCTCCTTCCCTCCTGCCTGCTGGCGCTGGACTCGCTGAGCCTCTTCTCTCGGGGCCTTCTTCCCTTTGGCCTGCACAACTCGGGGACTGTGCCATTTGGTGTTGAATGTTCCCCTCCGAGAGCGCATGGCTGAGGAAGAGAGGCGAGGGCCGGGCCCCCGAAGGGCCACCGTCCGGGAGGCGGTGATGCTGCTGCTGTGCCTGGGGGTCCCGACCGGGCGCTCCTACAACGTGGACACCGAGAGCGCGCTGCTCTACCAGGGCACCGCCAACACCCTCTTCGGCTACTCAGTGGTGCTGCACAGCCACGGGCCGAACCGATGGTGAGTGGAGTGGGACTCAGACGCTCTGGGCTTGGCAGAGCAGGGAGTGAGCGGTGCCTTGGTGGTTCCTGCCCCATTCAAACTTTCCTCTCAGGAGGCAGAAGGGGAACACTTTATTGGCCAGCTTGCTGGAGATCTGCTCATCTGGGGTGGCAGCGCCCGGGGTGCGTCTGGCACGAGGCACTGGAGTTAGTGGCGGGGGGCAGCTGGGTGTGCAGGGTGGTGGGCGGAGGAGGAGGCGAGGGGAGCGGGCCTGGGGCCCGCCGCATGTCAGCTGAAACCAGCAGTTCCGTGGGCAGCCCAGCTCACGTCTGCGCGCACGTGCACGTTTCTCAACTGTAGGCTCATAGTGGGGGCTCCCACCGCCAGCTGGCTCTCCAATGCTTCGGTGGTCAGTCCGGGGGCGATTTACAGATGCCGGATCGGAACGAATCCAAACCGGACTTGCGAACAGCTCCAGCTAGGTGAGTCGGGTCGGGGACCAGTAGTGAGTGACCCCATCCCCCACTTGTGGACTCCACGGTGGCACAAGTCCTGCAAAAACTCATGTTGCTATTACTTTCAGTTTGAAGTGAATGAGTTTTCACTGAGGTCCACACCATCTTCACGTAAAAGGGATTCCCCTTCTTTCTGGCAGTATTTTACTCCCTTTTGGGTACAGCGTTGATTTGCAGTACTCTGACAAAACTTTGACTAAACTATGTAAAGGGAAATTTCTTATACCTTCTCCTCTCCCGGTCCCCCATGTGTAGAGTGCATTTTAAAGTTTCCGCACATTAAGGCCAGGACAGAGCGATCAAGACTAAAGAATTTTATTTCCATCTTTGACCTACTAACCTTGTTAAAGAGAAAGGCTGAGGGGCAGGGCAGGAAGAGCAGTTGGAATTGATTGCATATCCTGTGATTTAGCCTGAGGGCTTTTAAAAAAAGAAAAGGATACGCTTTTACTTAGAATATAAAGTGTAAAAGAAGAGCACAGGAAAGTTGGCATCTCCATTGTTAATGTAATTAAAATGAGGCTTGACCTATAATTACTAAGTTTTCTCTCCCCAAACTCTCACATTAAGTGGGTACCTCTATTTGAAGTCATTTCTTAATATCTCTTCTTAGATTTGTGATGACTTGGAAAACATGTTCTGCAGGGGGAGGGGAGAAAGTTTATGGTTCAAAGACAGAAGCAAATTTGCTTTAGAGAGCCACCATGGGGCCAAGGGTTGGTGGCGGGATGAGGGGGCGGGCAGTGGAGCGGGGAGAGGAACCAATATTAATTCAGACCTGTCTTGTTCTAAACGCTGTTAGGCACTGCTGTACATGTTGTTTAATACCCCCCACCCCCGGTCATAGGGGGCATTGTTCCTACTTAACACATGCGGACTCTGTGGCCCAGCGAGCTGCAAGTACTTCTTCTGAAGGTTGCTCAGCTAGTGAGTGAAAGGTGGAATACTCCCAGTCCAAGGCAGGTCCGTGTGGGTCCGTAGTGCAAACCCTGTCTTTTTTTGTTTGCATCTTCAGGGCAAATAAAATTAAGTGAACAGTCCAATATGTTGCCTGCTGGTTACAACTGGTACCTTTTTCATATTTATGTTTGTTGTCAATGAACCTTTGAGATAAGCTAATTACTCTGCCTTTAACCCACTTCTATAGTAGTCTTTGCATTTTCTCGAATTGGGAAGCTGGCTCCCTTCATTTAGAGTGAATTCAAATAGAATATGCATACAGTGGAACTTGTATTTTTAATTCAGAGAACATTCAAAAAAGTCTAGGAGGTGTCTGTAGCATGCTTCCCATTTAAGCCTCTTCCATCCCAAAAGGCAGACTAGGAAGGCATAATACGTTCATAGACCTATCCATTTGGAATAATTCTGCAAAACACAACTTTCATTGCATGAGGGAGTCATGGAATACAGAATGAGGGAGTAGAGCACGCAACCATGATCTGCCAGAGGATCCTGACAAGACCTCAGGGAGGGAACATTTCATGTCTGTTGTCCTGTCGAAGTTTCCTGACTCATGACGTTAAAGCTACTGCTATCTAGCACCTAATTCCTGTTTAGAAGGGCACTGGATCTATTTCTAGATATCAGGATTTTAACTGGAAGGACGTCATAGCAGTATATGAAATTTCAGATAATAATGCCTGTCAAAATTGAAGGTAAACCTATACGCTTTGGGTATGGGGCACTTAGGGATCGACTATAGAAATATCCTCAGAGAAAGAGCACGTGGTAAATGTACAACAAATACAAATTAAGTGAAGATTTATTGGATAGATGGATGAATAAAAGCAAAGTGACACTCTGATTGTCCTTAACCTGACTGGTGAATAAGAAATATTCACCAATATTTCTTATTGGTGAAATAAAAAGCCAAAAGCATTTATGACAATACAAAAGGTATTTACTGAAATAAAAGGCAAAACAGACAACAAGATTTCTGTTCAATTACTGGTTGGAACACTAATAGCTGTAGAAATAGCTTTGACTCTTTGCAAAAGAATTGACTGAAGTTATTTTTCACGCAGTGTTTTAAACAATATATCTTCCTTTTATAAAGAAATGGGGCATCTCCCTTTTTTCCTCTTCTAGGGTAAAGCAGGGATAAATGCTGATGGAAGGAGACTTGGGCTGATTAACATACTATGATATACAGATGATATATTATCGAACTTTGTACCTGAAACCTATATAATGTTATTAACCAGTGTCACCCAAACAAATTCAATACAAGTTGAAAAGAAAAGATTAAAAAGTTAAATGTATAAGTGAAAAGGTAGCAGTTGAAGTGAAACACAATGAAAACATTTCTTGTTGGCCAAACCAAAAAATCTTGTCATAACTAAAGACCGAACTATGATTGCCATGCCAGGAGGGTGTTTCTTTCATTCGGAATGGCTTTGTTACCAAGGGGATGAAGTTGAAAGGTCTCTTAAAATGGTACCCATCTCCTACGAAATTCAAAATACTGCCCAACTAGTCTGTAGGTGTCAGAATTTCAGACTGAAGTTTGATTCAGATAGACAACTCCTGTGAAAGGGGAGTTCAATACCCCACCCTCCCTACACTGCCCTCGCCTTTGTAGATAGTGTTGTCAAATACTGTGGTACATTTACTGTGGCCATAATCCAGAGTGAGCAGCAACTCTTTCTCGAGAGTGTCCAGGGTGTTAGATGTTGAGAGTGAGATATCCTTTCAGTGAAGCGCATTGATGATTGTAGAAGAGGTACTTGTCCTCCTGTACGCAGACACCCTCCCTCCGCCTCCCTGCCGGCCTGAGAAGTGTCTCTGCTCCCTACTGGCACTTCCCGCTATGAACCAGACACAGGAGTCTCAAAATAAGGCATCGCAACTAAGGACTCCACTATTATATTAATCATAGGCCATCCATGGATTACCAGTATGCAAAGAGTTAGAACATAATAAAATTATACTTTAAAAACTGTCTTTAATTGGTTATTCAAAAGACATTTTAGATCTTTTATTACTTTGGAGTTGCCACTAATAGCATCACACACACACACACACACCTGTTTGGCTACTAGAATCTGGAGTTATGTAGTTACATTGCTCAATGCAATAGCCAGTAGCCACCTGTGGCTCTTGAGCACGTGGAATGAGGCTAGTTTACTGTGAGGGGTGCTGTACTGTAGACTACATCCTGGACTTCAAAGACAGTACCAAAAAATACAATACAATACAGTATCTCATTTTTTAGATACTGATTACATTGTTGGAATAAATATTTAAAATTAATAGTGATCAGATATTTAAATGATATATATATTAAGTTAAATAAGATATACTGTTAAAATTAATTTCACCAAACTTCCTTTTTTACTTTTTAAATGTTACCACAATGAAATTAAACATTTTACATGTGGCTTGTATTATATTTCTATTGGACAGCACTGCTGTAAAGAAGCACAACTTTCCTGAACAAACTAACACTGAATTTTGAGCAGGTGCTTTCCCCCTGTCTCTGCATAGACACATAGGACTTTCACTTTTCTTTTCCAGACCCAGTGTTGTACGTACAGGTGCTAGGCCTTTAACATCCCTGCTTGTGCTTCTCTTTTCTTACTGGAAAGAACAGTGGTCTGTCACACGTTAGTCATCATTATTCCCCTTCAGATTTCTTTCTGAATATTCCATTACCTTATGCTCCTGGTTTGTAGTATATAACCTGTTTGGAAGTGGTTACTTCAATTAGCATCACACAGTTAAACTAATGATTATTTCACTCTCACTTCTGCCTGATGTGCAGGACTTCATAGCTTAACATGAAAAGGCAGACCCCTCACTGTTGAAACTTCAGCGATGCTCTCAATAACTTTTCTCTTTTATTTGCACTACTCTTTAAATTGTAGCTCCTGAAGCTGAGTTGATGCAGACAGGTCATTTTGAAAAATCACCCCTGAACATAGGTTGGTATGGGAATTATACAGAAAATCAGGACTTCATTAGTAAACTGCAATACTAAGAGAATTAAGTTCCCTGATTTCCAGCAATTTCCCAAACTCCATCTGAAAAAATGGTTTCCACTTTAATTTGAGAGGTTAGGTTGTTTTTTTTTTGCCTTAAGTTTCACAGATTTTTGAGTAATATTCTTAGTGACTTAAAAATAATCTCCCCTTGGCAACAGTTCCAGGGTCTGGTATGGTGATCCACTGTACACGTGGGTCATTTGTTCAGTCATTTGTCAAAGAATGAGGGGCTAGAACCTGGACAAACAAAAGAAACCAGGTCCTTGTCCCAGGCTTTACAGTCTGTTAGGTTACTGTAGGGAGGTATGGTGAGGAGATCTAATTGAGTTAGGATAAAATGCTGATGTCTTACTCGGGAATTGCTGTTCAAGTGGGGAACTAAGTAAAAATCAGGAGTTAGTTAGAGAAGGAGGTTGTGAGAAAGCTGCCAGACAGTGAACAGCAGGCATGAAGTCCCCGATGTCTTGAGAGCATGGCGTCTTTGAACTGAAAGAACCACGCATGTGGCTGGACTGTAGAGGGTGAAGTGGATGGGTGGTGGAAGAGGTATTTTTTGGTACAACTTCCTAAACCCTTTTTAGGATTATGAATTTGACCCAAGATGATTGAAGCTGGGAGTGACATGATTAGGATTACAGTTGTGTTTTAGGCAGATACTTCTGGTTGCAGAGTAGTGAATGTTTTGGAGGAAATGGGTCAAGACAGTGTCAGTAAAAATGTAGAAAATCAGAGATTCTCCAGTTGTTCAAAAGACAGATCCATCAGGATGTGATAAGAGAGAGATGAAAAAAGTTATATTTTCTTCCTTCCTGGGACGCAATTTAAACACAAATTAGTGTCCCAGGAGGGAAACCATACACACACACAGAAGAAAGGTAGGTTTAGAAAAAATTCCACAGTTGATTCTTATATGTGACGTCTAACCCAATACCCTTCATGTGTGAACTATTAATATAAAGAAAGTATGCTTTAATTTTTTACTAT